ATTAGTTTATCATTTTTGAGTTAATAAAACTTACTGTAACTTTGTATAGGTAACTTGTGTATATGTATAGGTTACCAGAAAACTTGAGTGTTGCTAACTCAATTTGACAAGTTCAGCCAACTTAGAGATGTAAGTTAAGCTTAGTGCACAGAACTCAAACAAAACAGTTCTCTTAACAAGTCTGCTTTGTTCACATTACTAGACAAATGTGTGGAAACAGATTGCCTTAAATTTCTCAAGTAAGCTGTACTCAAAACTTAAAGTTGTTAATACAAAGACAGAAAACAGATTGTTAGCACAACAACAGGGCATTTATTTGTTTAAAACAATGTTACTTCAAGTCATTCTTTTTTAGGCATGCTATCAAATCAACAATTTAACACTAAGAAAAATTGCACATACTGCACTCAGGAAATAAATAGAAAAAAAACATCAACATCCCTTTTATGACACCTTGTAAATCTAGATTTACCATTTTCTAGAATTACCTTTTTCTGAAACAATAATGATCAATCATGAACAGTTACACTGAAAAATGCTTCATCACGCCACAATGACATCTTTCTACATCAGAAGATTTGTCAGAGATTGCATTCTAGGTTCAGCCATTGAATGACATCAAAGGTGTACTTCAGTACTGGAGGATACTATATTTTCATAGCATAAATCCAAGTCCAAAGAGCAGGCATATCTTGGGGAGGATTTTACAGATCATCCAATACAATTGTACCTTCCAAAATATTTTTATATTTCTTTCACTTACTTACCTTTATTCTTTTCTGTCCTTCCTTTCTGACTTCTTTCCTCTTTGTGTTGTTTCTTTTACTCTTCCTTCATCTAAATTGTCAGACTCCTTGTTACCTAATTTCTATTTTCTTTCTTCACATTATTTTTCTTACTCTTATTTAAAAAGGGTTCACCCAAAAATGAAAATTCTGTCATTAATTACTCTCTCATGTCGTTCCAAACCAGTAAGACCTTCATTCATCTTCGGAACACAAATGAAGATACTTGTGATGATATCTGAGAATGCTTGTGCATTCCTCTGCTTGTAAACAAGGCACAGTGCATGCATGTTCTACGTCAGAACGCCGGCTCCTGTGTCAGCAGCATCACACGCATGCGTCATGGTATTCTCGTGAACCATGTCCTTACTTTCTTTCTGGGTCTTGAATGTGGCAGTTGTGTTGCTGTCTATGCAGAAAGCTCTTGGATTTCATCAGAAATATCTTAAATTGTGTTCCGAAAATTAACAAAGGTCTTATGGGTTTGGAACGACATGAGGGTGAGTAATTAATGACAGAATTTTCATTTTTGAGTGAACTAACCCTTTAAGTATTTTTTTCTCTTCTTTCCAACTGTTCATTTATTATAAATTCCCTTTCCTTTTTTCCTTAGAAGTTTTTCCCCCCACTTTCTTTATTCCTTTCTATCTTATATATTGTTTCTGTGTCCTGATTTTTTTCTTGCCAGGTCTCAAGAATTGTCTGCATTACATTAAATAACCAGAATATAGCAAAATATATAACAAAATTACTTACAAAACATGTCTTGTAAAATCAGTAAGGTCCTTTTCAAGGAAGAGTGGAAGGCCATGGAGAACTGCTGTTCATAGCCCATGGAGATTTTTCATATTCCATAGCTTCCATATTTTAATACGTTTTTCAGCAGTTGAGCTCTCTTTTCACTCAAACATGTTGAACTTCCACTGCATGATTTTAAGTCCCCCAAAAAAAGAGCACATAGAATATGACAAGAAAATGGTTATAATTAGTGCTGGGCATTGACGCACATTTAAAAACTATTTTAAATGAAGTTTCTACTCCAAATAATTTTCTGAAATATAAACATTTAAACAGTGGTTGTGATGATAACTTGTTTTCATGACATTTGTTCAAACATTAAATGCTGAAAAACGGATTACATAAGACATGATAAATTTCATTAAGTTGTACTGTATCGCTCAACATACTTTATGATGCTTACTCACGTTTATTTTATGTTATAACTAGCAGTAAAGAGGAAGGTCGATGCTTGTAATCTAGCTTGTAAGCCACTGGCTAGCTAGTACGCTAACTGACGGTTACAGTAATCCTCGTCAGTAAAAACTAATAAAATCTGCCTTTTCTTTTCCTCAAAAATGATAGCGCGCACACGGTGACAATATAGTTTATAAGTAGATCACCAAAAACTTACCTAATCTTGCGGCCACATTTCAAACACGATCTGACTCTGAAGTTCAGTTCGTTGTCTTCTTCTGGTGATGTTTTGTTTAAACCAACCTTCCGCCACCTATTGGTGCACTTCCGCCACCTACTGGTCTAGAGTTATTAGGGCACATAGTGGGATTTAATCTAACAATCTAGATGCTCTTAAATACGGTTTACTAAAGTTGTTTAGTTTAACTATTGCATCCACCTGAAAGTTCACATAACACAGTGTAATTAAGTAAATTCAACAAATTTGTAAAAATCTGTTATGTTTACTCACTTTTCTTAAGTAGATTCAATGATTACTTTTTACAGTGTGTATCAAGTCCTATGCAACCATTGTAAAATGAACAACAGTTTCAGTTGTTGGATTTCTTTATAAATTTGGCTTCTTTATTAATATGGCCCCACATGCTCAGTTTCTGTAAACACTGCTACTTTTACATCTGAAATATTATTGGTTTATTTTCAAATAGTAGTGTTTACACTCCTGTTATTATTTTAGTCCAGGTTCAGACACACTCCCTAACATGTTGGAACAGAAAACTCCGAATGATGGCAGAGACGAAATCAGGTGTTTCCAGTTTCAACTGACAGCTCAGGGTTCTTATTGACAGCTTGCTGAGGAGAATAATGTCTTACAATCCCAAAATCTTATCTCTGTTATCATCTTTAGGTGCATGTTTCTAGGTCTGGTTTTGCAGTATAAGTAATGCAGCCATCATAACTACAGATGCTGTTTCATCATCAGATTTTATAGAAATTTTCCTGAGTATCTATTTGCATTCCTTCCATCCGTCCTTCCCTCCGTCCCTCCCTCTTTTGCGCATTCTCACAAGGCTTCATATTTCTTTGTTTCTTGCCTTCTCTGTCCTGATTATTCATTTTGTGTTATGTCTTGAGTTTGGTGCTAGCGTTTGGACACATGGCATGTGATGGCTATTACACCATCCTCATTGTTCCTCTCCAGAACAGCCTCTACAGCCCTGACGCACTGCACTGCTTCCACTGGGTAAGAGATTGTCTAATGTGTGTAATTTTGGAGGAAAATGTTCCTCACATGGGATGGGACAATTTGGATCAGGACAGATTTGTCTATAGTGATGAAACTTAAAAAGTAGTATTTGTGAGGACATGCCTCAAAAAAAAAAAAATCTTAAAGTTTGGTTTAATATTTATCTTTAAATGCTTGCCAAGGCATTTGTCATTTGTTGCTAGGCAAGTGCTAGATGGTTGCTGGAGGTCTTCTGGCTGCTAAGGCATTGCTAAAGTAATAAGTGAGTCCCAAATCACGTACATGTGCACTATTCAATGCATTTTAAATACTTGGTAATGCACTGAAAAAATGAAGTGTGGAATTTTGGACTCTCTATGCACCCAACTGTCGCAGCCATTAATTACATAGTGGAGGGAGGACTATCAGTCTCCGATTATGAATGACAAAATAATCTTATATACACACAACTGTGCAAAAGGCCATTATTATTTTCACCAAAAAAAGGTTATAAGTCAGTTATTTCTATCTTTTGCTGTAGTGTGTCAGTAGAAAATATAAGTTTACATTTCCAAACATTCCTTTTGCCAATAATTGTAATAATCCAGTGAGATTTTGTATGCACAAAGAGCAGTGGTGGAAAGAGTACTGAAAAAATATACTCAAGTAAAAATACCATTACCTTCCAAAAAATGTAGTGCGAGTAGAATAAAAGTACTTGTCCAAAAAAACTACTTGAGTAACAGTAAAAGAGTAGCCTATTTAAAAGTACTCCTGAGTATTGAGTAGTGAGTACTGAGCTGTGGATTCTACCCTCATAATAAACGCTGTACACCGCAATTGATACATTTTAAAAACGTTGTACATTCTGTAATTCACATTATCTTATTTGTCATAAAGAACTGGACGCCTAACCAGTTATTAAAATAATAATAGCCTAATAATAATAATAATAAATTATGTGACTTAGGGCTATATTTTTATATTCATTGTATCGCTTTACCTAATTAACGTTCTGTATATAATATAATAATTTCTTAATTTAAAATAAAATATTAATAAATACATCCCTGATAATCCCGGGTTACTATGGTCATGCAGGTTTGTTTACACATTAAGCTCATGGCCACGAGAAAAATAAGTCGTTCCCTCAACATAGCATCTCTGGCCACGACAAAATTAAGTGAACCGAACAGGTCCCCTAGCCATCACCATAAATATGAGCATAGCAACAACCATGTTAAATTTTTGCTCATTGTTGTTAATTTAACACCACTTACCTGTCTTAAACTGTCCTGATCGTCCATTTTGAAGCGGTTAATTAGCCAGAATAGCGTGTTTGGTGCCTGGTCCCACACTGATTGTAAGGCAAAACGTGATTGGTTGGCGCGAGAACAGCTACGATTGGTCGGCGCCACGTGACCAGTATCTGATTGGCTTAAGTAGAAGAGGGGTGGAGTCCATCCATTTGTGGATTGGTTTGCCTCTTGACGCTTGAAATGTCTCAAAATCCACAAATAAGTGCAACGATTTACAAATGCACAGGGAGCTATCCGCAAATGCATGCAGCGATCTACAAATGCACAGGACGCGATTCACAAATGAATGCCAGGCAAAGTTGCGTTTGTGACATAAAAATATATCTGTGAATGTTTTTTATTTGCAAATCTCATTTTATTTTTTGTGTGAATTTAATTCTTGTTTGTGAAACTCTAAGATTTATTTGTGGATCTCATTCTATTTATTTATCAATAAATTTTATTTTTGTTAATCTCTTTACATTTATTTGTGGATCATAATGTATTTATTTGGAATTATGCAACGATTCTACCCCCATACTTGCCGGAGTTAACATTGTACATTGTATCGGGTCCCAGGTAAGGGAATCCACTCTGCGTTGTGTTGATGTCACTCAATAAAGAAACTTCAGACCTCTCATTGCTTGGCACTGTCTTTATTTTCTGCATAAATGGGGAAATATGTTGAAAACATGAATTTTGTGACTCTCTTCATTTAAGTAAACACCGTTTAATGCCTCGACGAACCACGAGACAAACTTCTCTCGGCTCAGAAGGAAGTGAACTGAGCGGGCAATTTCACAAATGCAAATACATTGAGTTAATCTGTTTAGCATAAACTACCATAAAACAAAAACAGATAATCATAACATGAAATTAATCACAAAGATTGCACATGAAACTATAACATACCTGCATAAATGGGGAAATATGTTGAAAACATGAATTTTGTGACTCTCTTCATTTAAGTAAACACCTGTTGGCAAACGGAGAGTAAATATAGCAGGCTAATATATGCTAATCTCACTCACAATCGCAAACAGTCACAATTACAATCATTCACAAATACGATTTCATAATCCCACATACAAGGTATGTTTAACAAAGCAAGGAACAGCTTCAATTCATAATATATCATCAAATGTAAGTAATATTACCGTTTAATGCCTCGACGAACCACGAGACTAACTTCTCTCGGCTCAGAAGGAAGTGAACTGAGCGGGCAAAGCACGCAGGGCGCGAGAACAAGTATATACTCTTAAAGTGACAATGCACTTCCTTGAACAAATCTTGAAAATCATACATCTTAACTTGTAACAGTAAAATAATAGATACAGTCATATTAAAGAAACAAAATTACATTTATATTTAATAGGAAAAAGGGGGGATTTTGAGTGAAAATAATATAACCAAAATAACTCGGTTACATTCACCCCTCCTTATTTTCATCAAAATCCTTCAATGTGTCAAAGACATTTTCAATTAACACACTCTACTGGCACAAGTGAAACGTAAATCTAATCCACGCAACCAACATAGGAGTTACCTCAATTTCAAGGTTTAGGAAAATAGGAGGTTGATCAAGTCTCATATTCCCCTTAAGTTAATGTGACGCCTAATACGCCACACAGCACTTGGCCCTATTAAACTTAACATTTATCATAAACACCGTCGCCACTTCAAATCTCAAAAAATTCTGAAATCAATTCTCAGTTTAAACCTCTTGAACTATTAAAACTGGTATCTGCACCATAGATTCAATCAACCTGTTTACGGATTTAACTATTCTTCCCACTCTTGTTTTAAGAGGTTTAACAAGCTCGGTAAGAGCATGTGCATCAGCTTGCGAAGAGGAATCAGTGCAGAGTAAGTCTGATGAGGGAGGAAAGTTTTGTGCAATTTCATCTGACTGTTGTTCACGTCTATTATCTATAGACAATTCATCGGCTGCACCAGGATATTGTGTGGTGTCTGTTCTCACTGTGTCTACCACATCTGAGTGAAGGGAGGGTGCCAGATCACCGGGTAGGGTCGTGTCAGCCACAGGACTGAGTGCTGGTCCAAAAAGCTCATCCGAATAATCAGAGAAAGACTGAGATGAAATATCAGTGGACAAAAGAGTTGACATCTCTATGTTTGAATCGGACAAGTCTGGTATGTCAGGCTGACTTGGCATTGTTGCCTGATCTACTCCATAATTGTTCTGATCAGACTCCGCAGAGGTCAGTCGCTGATCAGTTTCAGTGGGACTTGTCCCTTCAATAATGCCAGGCATCGGCAGAAAGTTCACCTCCAACAACAGATTCCTATGCACAACTTTTGTGTGGCCTGCTGCATTCTTTATCTTATAGACATGGATGTCTGGATTCATGTCAACAACAGTGAACACTCCGTCCTCCCATTTATCAGCCAATTTCCTTTTTCCTCGTTCTGACTTATTTGCGACCAAAACCCGATCTCCCACTGACAAGAGAGTGCCTTTAACACACTTATTGTACTGTTGAGCTTGATGTTGCTGCTCAACAGATGAATGCTTCTGAGCAATCTGCATAGCATGTTTCAAACAAGACAGTAATGACTTGGCATAAGAATCATAATCAGCAACATCAGGGTTATCAAGTACCTGATTAAACAAGATGTCTACTGGAAGTCTGGGTATGCGTCCAAACATGAGAAAGAAGGGTGGGTAGCCTGTGGTTTTGTGAACAGTAGCGTTGTAGGCAAATGTTAGGGTTTGGATCTGCTGTGGTCATTGGTGCTTTGCTTTCAAAGGGAGTGATCGAAGCATGCCACCCAATGTTCTATTAAAACGCTCAGTGCCACCATTGCCCATTGGATGGTAGGCTGTTGTATGAGATTTTTCGACACCAGCTAGACGCAGCAGCTCAGCTATGAGGTTGCTCTCGAAACTGGTGCCCTGGTCGGAGTGTATTCTTTCAGGGAACCTGTAGATACAAAACACGTCCCAAAGTTTTCTTGCAACTTGCTTCACCGTTTGATTGGTGCAAGGGAATGCATGAGCGAGTTTAGTAAAATGATCAGTAACTACGAGGACATCCACTGAATGCTGTTTACCATCTTCTGCCGACCAGAAATCTATGCACACCAACTCCATTGGGGCCAAGCTCTTAATGTTCTCCAAAGGGGCACGAGCAGAAGGTTCTGGGGACTTCGCAAAAACACACCTTTGGCAGCATTTCACATATTCTCTTATGTTCTTTTCCATGTCAGGCCAATAAAAACGCTGTCTCGCAAGTGAGAGAGTGTGGTCCTGCCCTTGATGGCCTGCAAGGTCATGAATACCAGAAAGAGCTTTGTTTTTCAGGCTACCAGGCAGCACATAACTTCCAGCTTATTCCACTGTTTTAATAGTCTCAGCACTTGCGCACTGGCACCATGTCTTTCTCTTCTCGATGGACGTCTCTGTTTAGTCAGAAATGACAACACTTTGGCTATTGTTGGGTCTTCCTGTTGGCTTTGTCTAAGCTCCTGGGCAGAGAACACTGGTAAAGTTTCCTGGCAACCTGAAATCTTCTGAACATGGTGGACTAAATGAAGGGCTCTGGACTCTGCTCCATCTGTCCAACTGCAGTGAGACTGACAAAGAGCTCTGATTTCATCCATGTCAAAGCCTGCTCCTTGTGAAAAACTCCTCATGGGCTGATTGAACTGAACTTGGCTACTGAGCCTGAAAACATCGTGAACACAGTCTTCGCTCGCTCCACTGGCCTCCCGCATTAACGAAGAATACGGTTCATTCAACAGTCTCTGCCCAATCACCTTAACAAAGGGGTCACGGCTCAAAGCGTCTGCTACCACATTTGCCTTTCCGGGCAAATGTTTTAGGTCGAACGTGTATGATGCAAGTTTCGAAACCCATCTCAACTCATATGCATCAAGTTTGGGCTTAGTTAGGAGGTAAGTGAGAGGGTTATTATCGGTCCAGATGGTGAATTTGTGGCCTTTTAGCCAATGGCTAAACTTCTCACATACACTCCACTTTACAGCCATAAATTCCAGTCTGTGAGCTGGATATTTGCGCTGTGATGCACTGAGGGTCTTGCTTGCGAAAGCAATCGGTCTGGCACGGAGTTCCCCTTTGGGCACTTGCGACAATACAGCCCCTAAGCCGTCCAATGAGGCATCAACGGAAAGAATGAAGGGCTCATCGAAATCAGGATGAGCAAGCATGACACTTTCCAGTAAGGCAGCCTTGAGTTGGTCAAAAGCGACCTGACACTCTGTTGTCCAATCTGAAGGGGCAAGTTTACGGTAAGTGCCCTGAAATTTCCCATTCTTGGACAACTTTCCTCTTCTTTTCTGTCCAGCTGTAAGACTGAAAAGAGGTTTAGAGATTGATGAGCAGTTGGGAATAAAATGTTGGTAATAAAATACCATGCCAAGGAAAGACTTTATTCTTTTGACAGACGGTGTGCAGCCATCATTGTCCATCAGATCTTGTGCTGTTATCCTCGTGATGACCTCCACTTTTACCACATCAACAGACACACCTCCACTGTCAACGATATGGCCAAGGAATTTGACTGGTCTTTGAAGAAGATGGCATTTTTAGGGGACATTTTCAGATTGTTCTCCCTTAGCCTCTGAAACACTGTGTGCAGCCTGGACAGAGCCTCGCTTTCTGATGGCGCAAAGACCAGAAGATCGTCAAGATAGCACAAAAGCTTTGAAAAATTCATGTCTCCGATGATTCCAAGCATCATTCTCATGAAGGAAGCTGGACTATTACAAAGCCCTTGTGGCATACGGTTGTATTCATGAAGGCCTAAAGGTGTTGTGAAAGCCGTATATTTCTTGTCCTCCTCATTCATTAGGATATTATAAAACCCTGACGTGAGGTCCATTGTGCTGAAGAAGCAATTTCCTCCAAGCGCAGCAAGGCAGTCAGCCTGGTGCGGCAAGGGGTGAGCATATTTTATGGTTCTGGCATTTAACCACCTGAAGTCTGTGCAAATACACAACCCACCATCCTTCTTCCACACCATCACTAATGGTGATGCGTACTCACTTGAAGACTTTCTGATGATACCTCTTTCTTCCATGTCATTGAGAACTTGTCTTAATTTTTCATAGTGGGCAGGAGGCACTCGCCTATAAGCTAAGCGAAAGGGTCGATCGTCAGTCAACCGTATATGGTGCACGTATCCTTTGGCATCACCACAGTCCAATGGGTGTTTGGAGAAGATGTCTTGATAGTCAGCTAGTAACTTGGTTAACTTAGATTTACAATCATCACTGATTTGACTCCAATTAATGTCAATGTCACCAAGGCCCAGTTTCAGCAGACTTTTGTCAATTTGATTAACAGGAAAGGAATTACATGAGACATTTGACTTGTTTTCAACTGGAGTAATATGCAGACCCTGAAAAATCTCAAAATCTTCAGACGCAATACATGGAGACACATCAGCCAGTTTGGAGTTTCTTTTCAATGTGATCATTTTGTTTGTTGGATTTACAACTGTCACAGGCACCCACCTATCACCCCAGAGTGGTGTGACAAGGTGACCGACCAGAATATCTCGAGGCATAGATTTGGTCGGCTCAACAATCACTGTGCTGCCAGGTGACATGGGCACGTTAGGTGGCAGAGGCCATCTAGTTTAACTGGTGAGATGGTCCGCTAGCATCACTGTTCAAATGATGTTGGCGATGAGTAGCTCGCTGAGGGCAGTCCTTTTTCCAATGACCAGGAGTTAAGCACTTCAGACATCTGTTCTCCTGTCTGCAATGAAACACTGTTGAATGATCCAAGGATCTACAAACTCTGCATGGTTTGCGGTAAGTCTGAAACATTGTAACTTGATTAGGAGGGCTTGCTTGGAATTGGGTCTGCTGAGTGACAAGACGGTCTAACAGACTGACTAGGCTTTTGATGCAATCAGAGTCACTGCCAGACTGTGCTAAGGGAGAAGGTGGAACAGACAAGGCAGGGTTAGATGCAGTAACATTTGCAGCTCAATAACATTTGGGGTCTGAGTGCAAACCCTATGCTCTGCTGTATACAAATTGTGTGACTTTGCGTACGTTTGAGCTTTCCATTCTTGCATATGTTCATCAAGCCTCTCTTGTATCTCACAGGCCGACCATTTTTCTGCTGATTTGAATTTGAAGATATTTGAAAGAGACTGATCTGGGCAATGCTTAATAAACATCATACTGATCTCATGACTTGGATCACAAATGCGCCGACC